CAAGGGTGGTGTTATCAAGGAGGTTATCGATGTTTTGTAATTTCCTCAGGAAATCAGTGGTATCTCAGAGATAGCTAGGTGTGTTGGTAACATAGGGTTTGAGGAGGTAGTATACATAGCTGGATAGTCCGGTAGTGAGTGTGCCAATACCTGAAATGATGGGACGTCCAGGGTGTCCAGGTTTATGGATTTTGGGAAGCAAGTAGAATAATCCTGGTCGGAGTTCAGAAGGCATGTCTCTGTGAATTTGGTTCCGAGTAGAGGTAGGGAGTTCCTTAAGAAGAAGGTGTAACTTCTTTTGGTATTCTAAAGTGGGATCAGAGGAGAGAGGTCTGTAAAATGTGGTGTTGTAGAGTTGTCTAGCTGCCTCCTGTTCATGCAAGCACCTCTTATAGTGGTGATTACTGAGCAAGATGAAAAGAACCTAGCCTGACTGTCGGGCACAACTACTTGCAGCTGGCCCATAGCTCTCCTACATCGTAGGGTCCTAGCTCAAACCTGGAAATCCACAGTACTGCTAAACAGCTTGTAGCCCACCTCAGCTGGCATAGCCAGCTGCTGGTATCTAATTGCAGTGTAGACACATCCTCAGAGCCCTGAGTTTGCAGTTAAGTTTGGCCTACATTAGAAAGTTATATCTGCATCACTACATTGGTCAGGGTGTGAAAATCTCCACATCCCTAATCCATGTAGCTATGCCAACATAGTTGTGTCTATATTGGGTGGATTATGTTGCTGGAGCCTTTTAGGGATGTTAAACCGTTAACCGGGAAGGTATGCTTACTGGTTAATGAGCCAATTCTGGTGAACTCTGGTGGTAGCCAGCTGCACCGGGGCTGGAGAAGCTGCAGCCATGAAGGGGCCAGCCAGCAGGGTGGCGGGACCCAATGGCCGCAGCAGGACTGGGTAGCGGGCCAATTAGTAGGCTCTGAGTTAAAACGGTTAATCGTCTTAACATCCCTGACATCATTGTAGCTAATGCTCAGGGGCGGGGAGGTTCCTGCACTGTTGGAAAAACCTTTCCTGTTGGTACACTTCACGCATGTGACAGCATAGCTGTGCTGGAAGAGTGCATAGCATAGACCTACTCTTAGGTGTAACAGCCTGTTTGCAAACAGACCAGACTTGATACAAAAGTCAGTGAGGCAGTTACAAGGAACCCCATAATGACACTTTTGTAAAGCCTCTTTTTAGGGGCAAAACCATTGAAATGCTTGAAAGGCTGACTCTTGCTCCATCCCTACTGCCATGGTTGCAGTTGGCAGAGGCAATTCTGCTGGAGGTTAAAAGAGAAGAAGCTATTTGCAGAGCGTTTTCCATTAGAGGCCTTCAACTTTGCAGTCTGCTCTCTCTCACATCCCTGATGCAAAAACCCCAATCTGATGACCTTAAAGGCATGTTGTAGATGACCTTCAAGGCATGTTGTGATCAGCTACCCTTGCTTTTGAGGGAAGAGGGGCATAATAGAATCTGCTTTTAGGGAGAGTGTTAGTGGGTAGTTTTTTTACTGAGATTGGTGTATGGTAGGGGCATGGAGATATTTAGCAGCTGTTGGCTTTCGTTTCGCTGATTTCATTTTTAAATTTTGGCAGAGGTGCCTAGAGCTGACAGAAGGCACTTTTGTATATATCGTTATAAATTGAAATAAACAATACATATGCAAAATACCATAGAGCATTTCTGACTTGCCGTCTGGAAGTGGTAAGAACACCAAGCAGTTGACAGTGAAGTCTTACTCAGCTAAGCACACTCACAGGCACATTTTATGAACACTTAAAATAGATCTTGGAAGAGATTTCTTACCTTTAAAACTTCCTTTGTATTGGCCATCTGTTTGGCTAAGATATTGGGAACTTTGCTCATTCTTCACAGGTTGCTACACAGCTTTTTAATCAGGACAGAACTTCTCCAGTAATTCAGCCTGTTTCCCGTGCCCTCCAGCATGGTTCATCTGTCCACTTAGTTGGGAAAGTCTCTCCTCTTTCCTTCTAATCCTACAGATTAAAAAGAAACTTATTGCTCAGTGGGAAGAGGGTTTTGCATTTCTGAATAAAACTGTAGAAATTAGAAGGCTCATGTTATTCTTTTGGAGTTCCCGAGCTTGCCTTGGAGTGACATCATATGAAGAAAGAGAAGGTAGTGTTTGGAGTAGAGTCTCATGGCTCACTCCACAAGAGTAACCTCTACTGTTTCAGAAGAGGGAGAGAGATGGGCATCACAGTTTTGTAGCATTAGAGTTCATGTGGGCATGCATTGAGCATGCTAACTTCAAAAGGCAAGTCCATGCTACAGGGTGTAATTTATAAGGTACCCTCCTAGTTCCTGGTCTGGAGTCAAATTAAGTGGCTGCAGTTCCCAAAGTCTGGGGTCTGGTGGTGTTCTTACCTGGAAATGTAAATTATTTGAGTCCTTCCTATGCTAGCCTACACTGAGGGGGAAGTGGGAGAGGGGGCAACGGGCCAGCTCCTTTGCATGGAAGGCAGTGATTCCCCAAGAGCTGTTTTTAGTTTCCTATCAACAGCCACTAATTAGAGGACTAATGCACAGGCTGGACAAATACAGAAAGACTTTTAAAGTATTAACAGATATTATTGTAATGAAACTTCAATTCAAAGAGGATGTGCAGTTTGAATGCAGAGGATGAGAAAGAGGCAGTATTTCATTTACATTGTATCTTGTTTGTAGTTTTCTAATAACTATTTTTAGGATGTTAAGGACTAGTTGATGCCCTCACCCCCTTTGCTGTCTCTATTAGATAGAGGCAGCAAAGTGGTGGTGGGGGCGGTGAGGAGGGGGGGAAGAAGGGGTACTTCAAAGCGGCAGCGCCACACAGCTGAGCCCGGGCTCTGTACAGAATTTCAGTGGAACCAGGATAAAGCTGGGGAATCCCTACCTGACCCCAGGCTCCATGAGGGTGCTGTGGCTTTGAAATGTGCAAGAGCCTCTGGGCTGCACGTGAGGTTCCGCCTATCGACTACTCGACTAGTCAGTTAACCACAATTTAACATCTTTAAACTATTTGTAAAGGGTATTTGTGTTTGCATATCAAGCTGACGATGAGTAATGAATACCCAAAACCAACTTAACTAACACATTTAGCTGGTAATATATCAGCCATGTGCAACAGATTTTTTTGCTTTTGATCAGTCTGAAAAAGTAGATGCTGGAGATAGCAAATGTCAGCAAAGTTTACAGTAGCCCAGTGTTGGCATTTCAGTCTCCAGTTCTGAATTCTCATCTGAATCTCCAACAAGCCCCCAAACTCATAATGAAAATTTAAGGTTTTGGGTATCTGCCCTTCATATACAACAGGTTGGAATCTTTAGCTGTTTCTTTATATCCCAGTTCATACTCTCCGAGGGTGCATCTACACAGCACCCTTACCTCGAAATAAGGTATGGAATTTGCACTATGCAAATTGCATGGCTTATTTTGAGGTTATTTGGAAATAAAGCGCTATTTTGACAAATCCCTTAACACTTGTGGAACGAGGGTTACAGGGATTCCAGAATAGCACGCCTGTTATTTCGAAATAACGAGCGCCTTTAAAGATGCAGAATAGTTATTTTGGGATGCTGGAGGTACCCTGAAATAGCTCTGCTGTGTAGATGTAGTCCCATAAAGGTATAGAAGTCTATTCTGTACCTCCTCCAGATTGTAGTCTGTGTTCTGTGATCGGTGCCCTGACTGAATGGAAGAATAGCTCTCTCATAGATCCTTTTAAATCCTTACCCTTTTGGTAGGGAGCTGCTACAAGCAGTGGGTTCCTGGTAACTTATTGAAAAAATTTGTCATCCCTGTAATTTTATTATTTTTAAAATGAGGTACCTCTATAAACTGGAACTCTCTGGTCCAGCAACATCTGTGGTCCAGAAGGACCGTGGATGTTGTAGGATCAGAAAGTCCCCGTGCACTGTGGAGGAAGGGTGGGCCTGGAGTCCAGCGCTACGTGGGGGGAAGGGAAGGGTGGGGAGTCAGCATGCAGCTCACCTGGGCTGCGGGTGGGGGGGGAGGGAGCCAGGAAAGCCTGGTGGGAGACAGCGGGGGGAGGCAGAAATGACTTCCCCTAGTCTGGAAAAATCCTTCAAATGGGGCCACTCAGGTCCTGAGGGTGTAGGACCAAGGAGGTCCAACCTGTATTATTTCAACCTTAGATCTCAATAAAAGTTTATCAATGAACAAAATTCCAGTGCTATACTTAATTTTGTTTTGCAGTCCGTATGCATTTCTTCTCCTTGCTAGATTGTCATTGTAGAAGGGTAGTTTAAAAATCACTTGTATATTTTTAATAATAATGAGGCAGTATATGTAGAGGAGACTTTATTAAATGTACACCTGCGGGCAGCAGGGTATCCATTTTTACAGTGCAAACTGTTAATTGTTCAGCCTTTTTTCCATTAAGTATTTCTGTCATCTGAAAAAGGAATAGAGTCTCTTTCTTGAGAGTTTTAATTTGATTCCAGACTCTTTTCGTCAACTAAGTTGACACTACTTGTCTGAATTACAGAAGTCCAGAGCTACCTTTTCTAGGCAGATTAAAACTGTTCCTTAGACCCTACATACGATGTTCTTTCTTACTAGACTGTTAATCCTGCCATGGAGGTGTTTAAAACTAATGAGGTTGTGAGAAGCTTACCCTTTTATCCTTCTTGGAAAGTAGATTACTGTACATATAGTAGCTGTGGAAGAGTACAGTAGCTAGTATGGATGGTCCCTTGAGTGACCCTCTTCTGTTATAGCCAGAAACACAAACATGTAAGATGGTTTCTGAATGCAGCATTACTCTCATCTACTCCCTTTTGCAGATTCTTATTCCCATTACCTTTGGACACATTATCACTGTAGTTGAAACGTTATTGTACATTTTACAGTATAGATGAAATAACTTCAATGCCAGATGATAAACCCAGATGAATATCAGTGCCCTAAAAACTACTTTTTGAAGCATTTTGTTCTTAGAAGAACATACGTTATTGAATTGACTTCATAACCATTGTTTTTATCCCTTTTTCTCATCCAAGAGCTCCAGACGAGAGTGGAAGCCTCTCGAGGATCGCAGCTGCACAGATATACCATGGCTGTTACTGTTTGTCCTCTTTTGTGTTGGAATGGTGAGTAAAATAAAGACTCTAAATGCTACAAAGTCACAGACAAAAGAAACCAGATTTTGTGATGACAAATTTCGTAGTTTCAGTCAATATCTACCATACGTTAGCATGGGAAGAATCAGTTATGGAACAAGAACTGGCTTGATTTTGATACCTTTTTGTACATCACTATGCGCAAACCTGGTACTTACACAGGGTTGCATAATTTGCTCTTACCACAGAATTACGTGCCTCAGAATCTAAGCTACTTTTAAAACAAGTTTCTAGCCATGATGGTTGTAAAGATGTCAATCTACACTTGGTCTATTTTTTTTAAAAGACTGTAGTCCTAAATCTGTCTTGAAAAAATAGTATTCAGCGTGGGGACCTGCTACCTTCATCTCAATAGCTCTGAAATGTAAAAACAGCAATGTAAACCTCAAAATCATTGATATCCCTGCTGGTAACATTAGCAGAGCCATCCATTTAATAATGCTTATTCTACAATCCATTTTTTCTTCCCAGACTGCCTCAGGTGCCAAAGCTTCACTACATCTTACCTGGATGCCAAAATCCTTGGTTTTCTCCTGACAATTGTGATGATTCAACTATATGTCAAATTACAAAAAATAATTGAAGCATAGTAAAAATTCAGTATCTTGGTTTTTGCCTTTTTTGAATGGCATTATGCATGATTACTTACATTATTCAACCACCAATTAGAAAATGACTATCTCTTTCACGTATCTCTTTCACTGGTTTCTGAGATGATGATCTCTGTGTAAAAACCTGCATCTCAAACTCTCATTGGCTTTATTTTACAATCATGGTACGCTGCAAGCTCATAGCTAACTTGCTTTTTTTACTTAGCATCTCTTTGGTCTTTTTTCTTTTTTGTTTTCCACTGACAAGTTTGATTTTTAATTCTATAGTGTAACTGTCTATCTTTAATACGGGATGCCTAGTTATGTATGTTTATTTTGGGTGTTAGGCATATGTGTGTAGCTAATTTATATGGTCTATCTTGGAAAATTAGGTTCCAAATTGTTACATTTCACTCTTTGCTGTTGCTGGACTGTTGTTGGCAGTGTCCTTCTACTAAAGTTTCATATATACCTGCAGCTGTGAATTTGTCCTTTTTTGTGTATGGTGTAGTATCCTAAAGCTTTCTTGTCACATCAATCCAATGTGCAGAACATTGATTATATTATGCTTTATCATTGCTTTGGGGAGTTGCAAATAACTTCAGGCAGTCATATCCACCTTCCCTCACTCTGTTGCTTGATGGGAGTAGAATCCTAAAATAGATGGAGGAGGATACCGGAAACTTCTCTGCTGTAATGTACCCTGACTGAATTGGCTTTGTTAACACTGTTCCTACACTTGATAAGTACAGGCAGTCCCCGACTTACGCGGATCCGACTTATGTCGGATCCACAGTTATGAACGTGGCTCCCCCAGAGGACACGGACTGCGGGACCTCGCGGTCCTGCCGCCCGTGTACTCCGGGGCTTTCTCTGTGTCTCCCTGGTCTGCAGACCAGGAAGACGCGGAGCAAAGCCGCGGAGGGGCTCGGGACACTGATCTTAAAGCAGTGTCTCACGCACACGCTTAAACAGCAAAATACATGTCACAACTTGTGTTATTTTTCAAGCACCTGTGCAACAAAAGTATTGCCAACCTAAGTGCTAGTGTAGACATGGTCTGCATCAGAGTATAGTTGCTAGAGAGTTCGAAAACTACAGGAGTGGAGTTCCTCTGCAGCTACACTCCTGTGAAGCTTACATTCAGCCTTATGGAGCTTTGCTGGAAGAAGGGAGAAAGAGAGCTAGTTAGACTTCCTGGTAAATATCAAATGACAAATCACTAGTATTTTTTTAGCACTTCATTAACTGAATAATAGGGAAGTAAACACCCTTTTAAAATTAAGATAATCTGTTATCTATAACAATCAGATGTTGATTAGTCAAACTACAGTTAATCAAAATGCTTTTTTGTCCAGTGCTCTAACATGTGTCCTGAGATGTGATGCAAGATCTGGTCCTGCAGAGTTTCAGGTCTGATCTACATACAGAGATGTGTCAATGCAACAGAGCTTACAGTGACCTAATTCTGGGAGTGTCTACATTTTAAATTTTGTTTTTGTTGATATAACAGACTTGTTATGTTAACTTAATAACTCTACCTCCATAATCACCATGGAGAGGCAGAGTTGCTCTGCCCCGGGCTTCCTGGAATCAGCTGCTGATCAGTTTCAGCAGCAGCTGACTTGGGGACGCCTGGGGTTCTTAAGTTGATTCTGTATGTAAGTCAGAACTGGCGGTCAGTTTCAGCAGCGACTGAATCTGGACGCAAGTTCCGACTTACATACAGATTCAACTTAAGAACAAACCTACAGTCCCTATCTTGTACGTAACCCGGGGACTGCCTGTAACTCCTTTCTTTTGATATGCTAATGTGGTGTGTTACCTACCTATACCTATATCTAGCTCCCTACCTCTGTGACTTGCATTCCATGCATCTGACAAAGTGGTTTTTACTCAAGAAAGCTTATGTCTGAATAAATCTGTTAGTCTTTAAGGTGCCACAGGACTCCTTGTTTTTGCATATAAAGACTCACACAGCTACCCCTCTGAGACCTGAGTAGGGTCACAGTGGTATGGAAAAGATTAAGAACCTATGCAATATCTTATGTAAAATTCTGTTGCTTAAAAGGAACTACAGCTTTTACATGAATGGTGATTGGATCCAAGAAATTGAAAGTAAGGGCTGCAAATCAGCTTAATTATTAATAGTGATGCCCTTTCACTCCTCCTTTGCTTTGACCTCATCTGGTGTTAAGTCTTTAAGTTAATTCACTACAAGACGGAGAACTGCTTTTCATTTGGAATTCCTTTCTTATCAATTTATCTCTTTGGGTATGTCTACACTACCACCCTAGTTCGAACTAGGGTGGTTAATGTAGTCAATCGAAGTTGCAAATGAAGCCCGGGATTTAAATATCCTGGGCTTCATTTGCATCTTGCCGGGTGCCACCATTTTTAAATCCCCGGTAATTCGGACTCCGTGCCCGCGGCTACACGCGGCACGGAGTAGGTAGTTCGAATTAGGCTTTCTAATTCGAACTACCGTTACTTCTCGTGGAATAGAAAGCCTAATTCGAACTACCTACTCCATGCCACGTGTAGCCGCTACCGGTTATTTAAAAATGGCGGCGCCCGGCAAGATGCAAATGAAGCCCGGGATATTTAAATCCCGGGCTTCATTTGCAACTTCGATTGACTACATTAACCACCCTAGTTCGAACTAGGGTGGTAGTGTAGACATACCCTTTCAGTATTGCTCCCCCCTCAACACTGTGCTGTTCTGCCCTCCAAAGGCTTTAAAGCAGTCAGCATTTGACTCCTCCACACTCTCCTCCCAATAGTCTTTTCCTTCTCTTGCACCCACTTGTAACTCCTGCACTTGTTTTCTTTGCTACTGCTCTCTTCCCACCCATCCCATCAATCTCAAACTCTTATCCTTTCCTTCTGGCATCTCTGGTTATTTGGAGAGACAGCATAAGGACTGTTTTTCCATGTCCCGGAATTGGCCAGTTTGACTAGTTGTAAAGAGATAATGGATGCTTTCAGGCATGAGCACCTTACCGTGGCCTCTCTGCATTCCCACTCCAACTTCACCTTCTGTATCCAATTTAAGCTCTTTGAAAGTCAATCTGTAGCCCAGTGTTACCTGGATCTTTCCTTCTCTAAGGCGCCCCGCCCCCCCCACACACACACTTTGCTCCACCATGCTGCCCCTGACTGCTCCCTTTGTATGCTTCCACTGTTATTTCTGTTTCTTCTTCTTCCCTGCACATCTGTTATGTCTTTCCTGGACTGGTCTCCCATGCTTCCCCTTTTCCTTATATTGCCTTTCTTCTAAATTGGCCTTTCTACTGTATTTTTTCTCTCAGAAGTGTTAACAAGATGTTTGAAAAAATCTTATAAACAGAAGCATCCCAAACTTCACTAGTCATGCTCTCCTTCCCTGCCAGTTGTGTGCTATCTTCATAGATTAGGAGCATTTCATTTCAGGAACCTTGTTTTATGCTTCTCTTGTAAAAGCATCTAGCACAGGGGTGAGCAAAAGGGCCTCTCTGGGCCGGATCTGGCCCGCAGAGGCCCTGCTGCTCCCCCGCCCCCAGGCCAATTAGGGTCTGGGGGTGGGGGAGCGTGCAAAGCCTTCTCTGCTTTGCTCCTGCCCTGCAAGGAGCCTGCGGCACTTCCAAGTGCCATGTGTCCTCACAGGGCAGGAGGAGGCTTCCTGCGTTCCCCTGCCCCCAGATCCTGATTGGCCTGAGGTGGGGGGGGGGAGTATGTCACGTCTCTTCCAGGGCATGGGTGCCTAGTAGGAAGGGGTGTTAAAGGGGTTCTCCCACCCCACCCCAGTCATGGTCTGGGAGTGGGGTAGCCCTGGCCTTCCTGTTTAGGCTCCACCCTTCCTGTTTAGGCTCCCCCCCTTCCGAGGTGGCTTGGGACTATTTCAAAATTTTTTGAAGTGGTCCCCGGGCAAAAATTATTGCCTACCCCTGGTCTAGCACATTGTTGACCCCATTTAGCTAATGAACGATTTTTAGAGCATCTGAATCATATCTTTAATTAGTGTATGCATTTAAATTCACAACTGTCTTTTGTTCCTCATAGTGGTTCTTTCTTGGTTGACTTAGACTTTTCCCTTTTTAAATGGAAGGCATTTCAAAGAAACCTGCAAAAAGTTGGGCAGCTCTCTTCTGAAATAAATGAATTACAACTGATTGTTCCCTCCTGGCCAGCTCCAAGGAGAGCAGTATTAAACTGTGTTTTGGGCTCAGTTGCCATTGAAGCCTTTTTTCTGTTTTTTTTCCCCCAGGGTTTTATTTGTGGTTTTTCAATCGCTACTGGAGCAGCTGCAAGATTGGTTTCAGGATATGACAGCTACGGAAATATCTGTGGACAGAAGAATGTAAAGGTGGATGGAATAGTCAATAGCGGTTTGGACCTCACAGAAAAGAAGTGAGTATATGCTTTTTCTAAACTTAGTAAATGATTGAACTAGAGTCTGTTCTCAGTTGGAAGTAGATTACAGTAACTTGATTGAGGGGGAAAATTTTCTGACTCTTTTAGTGAATCTGTTTAATTTTTCCTATTTAGTCCTTGTAAGAATTTCTCTTGCTAAAAACATGCTCTAACAACCTGTCACCTACAGTTGTGACTGTGCACTGTAGAATTTATAATATGCATGCAAAGAAGGTAATCTGGAGTATTGCTTTCTTTTTGGCTTCTCATTACATAGTTTGGTTGTTGTGTTCAGCCATTTGGTAAAATTGATCATTGGGGCTTTACAGATGGACCAGTGTTTTCAAATGCTCCAGGGATGAATGAGGAAAGCCAAGCATGCAAAATCAGATTGAAGTTTTCCATGTTTAGAAGTTGGGTATATAAAGTGGAGTCCTAAGAAATACCTAGACATGACTGAGATCTAAGTATTTCAAGGATTAGGAACGTGATTAAATTAGGCCACTCTAGAGGTGCTTTGAAGGAATAGAGTATGTTGTTATCAGTCACTTGGAGATGAAACAGAGTTCTGGACTCAAGGCTTTGAGGGAGAATTGTGGAGTTGGTTTAGTTCTGATCTTCATTTTCTGTGCTGGATTCTTCAGACTCTGTTTGCCAGCTAATACTTAAAAACCCCTATGAACAATTCAGAGGACTTCAGAAAACAAAACATCCCTCTGTCTTGTAAATCAACACTGCTATGCTGTATTGAGACTACAACCAATGAAGTTTGAAAAAAGACTGCAGCAAAGGATAATGAAAACTAAAAGACCTTACTTCTTAACTTCTGGAATAGTCTTGGCTCACCTGTCTTCAAACTAACAAACCTCTTAGTGTATGCAGATTGTTTTGTAAGAATGCTTGACTGAAGGTTTGATTTTTGTGTGTGTGTGAGATAGTGTTGGAGATTTCTTAGCAACTTCGTTTGCAAGAGTAATTTAATATGAATAGTTAGAAAATGCTGTCACTTTTTCTGAAGAAATTTGAGTTGGCTAAATAAATAAATAAAATGTATTGATGTAGGTTTAGTTTGTTGCTTGGTCATCAAGTGTCATTTGTCAAAACATAAATACTTGCAGTTTATTTAATGGAACAAGCACATTTTTCAAATTGTCCTATGGAGTATCAATTACATGTTGTATTTAGAGAACTGAGCAGTAAAAAGTGTTGAATTTAATATTGTTGTAAACTGTGTCTTATTTCTTTTGGGAATGGGGGAAGAATAATTACTTGAATGGATTGATACTTTGTAAAAACTGATTTGATCCTTTCTGATGTTACTTTTAAACCTTCTGAGGATAAGCAGCATCTTGGACTAAAAGGTCTAAAGAGCATGCTCACTATTGGTGCTGGGTGATAATTCAGAGTTCATAAATTTCCTAATAATTAGGCCTCGGTTCCTTTTGTAAGGCTGGTAATTATCCTGTAAAATCACCAATCTGTTACTCATTTCACAACCCAACTGTCCTATTTCAAAAAGTAGGTGAGAGGGGTGTGTGGCTGCCTTGGGCCACTCTTGCACTAATCAGTTAATCATTGGGCTTTTTGTAAATCTGAGAGCATTGTGTCCTCGAGTCTTATTTCTAACAGCTGTCACATGGAAGAGTGCTTCATTGTATTATCCTTTCACATTATACAAAGGGATATCTCATGATGACGAAAGTCAGCAAATTAAAGATGATGAAAAGGAAATAGGTTTTTTACATACACTCGATTGCACCATGTATGGAACTTATTGCCACAAGATATCGAGAAGGCCGAGAATTCAATAGAATTAAGAAAATGATTATTCTTGATTGGCTAATGAGACTATTCAGTTACTTGACATACATAAAAAAATTAAGTGGTATAGATCCTCATCTCTTAAGAGCATAAGACCACTACTTCCTGCAGGGGATAAGAAGAAACTTTCCTTCTATATCTATCCATTATGGAGTTTCTTACACAGTCCTCTGAAGCATATGGTATTGTCCAGCATGATAGACTAGACAGAGAGCTAGTGTCTGTTCTAGTATGGCAATTCCTATGTATTGGCAAGTGATTTCCCCCTCCTCTCCTTGTTTTTCATTATGTCTTGAAATTGTTTGCTTTCAAAAAGGGCTCCAACTGACCAGTAACTATTTCTGTGAGACTGATTTCTTGTAGTGCCTGAGGTACAATACATTGGATTGCTTCATACCTCGGCTGACTTTCATAGTTACGCTGTTTCAACAGTCTGAAGAAAATAAGGTTTTTTTCCTAAGCCTCTGTCTTTTGAGGTAAATCTTAAAGACTCGCCTGTTGCTCTAAACTTCCAGAGGATCCCTGAAAATATTTTTTTGCCTCTTGTAGGGTAACCTTATCTTCAGCCTCCAATTATAGCAGAAATGTTAAATTATCTGTAAAACAGCATTATCTCTTAGCAACATGTAGAGAAAGTAATGAGGAAGTGAAATTGAGTTGAGGGGAGTTTTCTCTGAGGGGAATGTCTAGCTGAGTACATATCAGATTCTGAAAGCCTATGGTGACTAAGTTTGTAGCTTTTTCTTTGCATCAGTAATTGACGTAGCCCTTTTTGTTATTAAAAAAAAAAAAAGAGAACGCAGCACTTTTCAATGGGTTGTAGTCTGGGAATCAACCAGTTCCACATCGATCTGCCAGCTTCTAAGAGGTTTCTTGCCTAGTAGAGTTTTGCAACTCTGCAATTATCTTGAATTGCTACAATAATTGCAAACAAAATTATGAACACATTGACACGGCACAAGTTATTCAAATGCTAATCCTGCCTGGTACCTGTATTTGACATGTATGATCTTGCTGCGTGGGCAGAATGAAGATACCATATATCCTTTTCAAAAAGTACAAGAAGAACTATTCTGCCAGTATCTATTGCATGCTGGCAAAATCTCTTGATCCCCCCAGAAGCAAAGATTTGAATTAATGAGTTCTTTACTCGGTGCATGCAGGTAGCAAACAGGCAAAGGGAAATTTGGAAGCATACTTGCAGAGAAAAGACATGAACTAAATTGCATATGTCCCACTCAAAATTGGTGTGAATGGGTGAACATTTTAATTCATTTCTCCATTATTGCAATGCGATGCTTGTCAATTGCAGTAAACAGTGGTTCTGCACAGTGCTCATGTAAATGTCTTGAGATGTTTTGAGGGATAACAGGAAATCAATGAAATCTGCAAATACAGGAACATACAAGATGCTCCAAACTAAGACAGACTTGTATATTGTGATAGCTTGCTGCACTGTGAAAGGTTAACCATTTATAGTTTTAAAACAGAAGAACATGTGATACTTTGAATATATAGCAAGATCTTTGCCTCTTCTCATTTTTTGTTAGAATTCTGCTACCTTTTATTTTCACTGTGCCTGAAGAGTCATGTATGGAGTAGTTGGCCATTTGCCCAGTAAGCCTATTGGTCATGTGCAGAGACTTGTTTCTCTCTGTTTTTTTTCCTTGCATGACTTCATCTTAATTTAAAGCCATGTTGTTCCCAAAGCTCAGATTTTTTCCTCTTTTTTGGAAAAAAGTAGACACTAAAATACCTTTCCTTATCTCTTCCTTCCCCCTCTTCCTCTCTCCCCCCCATCAATGTTACTTAAAAGGTACATTTTAGCTTGTTAAATGTATGCCACAAGATATGCACTTTGGCAGTTAACTTCACTGTGAACTTTAACTTTCATATCCTGATTTCTGAACATTTAGCCTGTAGCTTTAATATTGCAATTTACCTTTGAGTGAAATTAAAATAAAAACCATAGGTGTAAGCGTAGGCACTACTGATGAAGAGTTTAAAATTACAGATAGTTACTGTGAGGTTGGCCAAAAACTGGGCATGGCCTCAGTTACTTCAATTTAATCAAGTATTTTTTGCCTTCATACCTCATTTTTCTCCCTCTTTTTTCATATTTCAGAAGTTTATTTTTTTCTGTTGGTTCTCAAAAAATGTTTTGGAACATGAAAACACTTGACAAGGATCTTGTCATTTCATTAATCCAGTATGTTGGCTAATTTAAAGCATAGGTATAGTGGTACCAACTAAAAATTACCACTAATCTTGCATTTGTATAGGTTTATTATGGTACAATTACACTGCAGGAAGGAAAATATTTAGTGAGTTGAACCAACCCAAGTAAGATAAATCATGACCTTTGTTTGTGTGACTGATTTATATTACTTTCCAGTCAACATCTAATGTACTTTGGATCACTTGTATCCTTTATACATAAAACCATAATTTCACAGTTCTTTAGGCAAAATTGAAACAGATTCTGCAGTGACTAACCATGGTTCTTCATTGATGCCAAAAATCCTTAAGTTCTTTAGATTTCCCGTGACATCTTTCACTGAGCCTCTTCCACGCTAGCCAAACCTTGTTCCAGTTGTGCTGCTCTTTTATTATTCATGAAATAGTACCCGAGTTAAAGCTATTCTCCTCCTGGGACAAGACTAATATCACCACCTGTCTTGTATATATTATTTTTCTATTTTTAATATTAGAGTCTTCAGATCTAGCTACTTAAGTATTTTAAATAGTGGAGATTGTGCTTTTGTTGAAAGAAATGGGGAATCAGAGGGTTAATTCACTTGCATTAAGGTGTGTAGTTACTTTGGAAAACAGCTGCTGGATAGAATGCAAGGTCCACATTTTCCAGTTGTGTTACAGCCCCTAATGTTTGTACAGTATTGGATGGGAGGGAGGGGGGAGAGGAGTGAAAAAAATATCCAAGGATTGCAGGATAATTACTTAGAGAGTTTGAAAGGATTACGGTTTCACTAGGAAAAAGAACATTCAGGAGAGAACATGAGTAGTTTATAAATACGTTTAAGTTACAATGAATGGTGAGAGGAATTGATTCCATTTCAGAAGGTAGGACAAGACATTATTAGGAACTGAAAAATTGAGGCAAAATAGTAATAACTTTTGTACATGGAAATTGAATAACAGAACTAACTATCCAGGGAGAGGTGCCATCACTGCATATAGTCAAAATGATGTGAGAAAAGCCAGGAATAGTAGAGAACCTATATGTAAAGGGTCAGATTGCTTGCATCATGCAATATTTTTTGCCCCTGTTAATTAGTCTGTTTTGATTACTGTATTTAACAATAAATATACACTTGGACATTTTTGCATTGCCCCTGAAGGTTTATTATTACTTAGTCATGTTGTTTCTGAAGTATCATCTTAATGAGTGTGGTGGAAAACTTACTGAGGATCATACAATTTTCAATTCCACTTTACTTTTAGCATCAAAGTGCTTTTTGTTAGATAAAGAAAAAAAAAGTAGTTACACTCAAGAAAACAAAAACATCACAACTGTTTAAATGGCTGCCAATGGTATTTATGCTGGTGCACTGGGCTGTGAAGCATTTCAACAGTTACATTAACTGAGGTATATTTTTGCTGGTGTACTTCATGATGAACCTGTTGCAAAATCATTTATAACAGTTTCCAAGTGTCCTGTGAGATGAAATAGGCTTTCTGAGCTCAGAAGAGGGTTTTCATCAGTGTTTTTAACAGAAATAGCACATGATCTTAACAATTTGAATGAATGAGAACGGATCCAGAGTTCTGAGATCACATATGTATAGGAGATGTCTGATAGGCAATGCACATTTCATAACTTGGAGTGTTTTCTCAATCATGAAGGAATCATTTTAAAATGCTGCACTTACATAGTAGCTAGAGTTTTACCTGAAATGACTCCACAATTTTTATGCTTCTAAATAAATACCAAAACGATCTATTCGGTATTATGGACTAGTGGTGTGAAAAATTAATTTAACACAGAAAGCTTGAGTTATTTGAGTTGCATCTATTTATTAAAACATTTTGAGCTTTCTTTTCATTTCTTTTTATTGTATACATACACTTGTTCTGGATATTTTTGACTTCATATTTCAGGGAAAAAGACTAGAGCTCTTCAAGTTAAGTTTCAAACAGGAGTTTATAGTTTAGAAGTGCTAAGGCTTTACAATTAATGCCACTTTAATATACTGAAGTGTGTTAAAATGTTAGAGTATGCTTATTATACAATATCAGTCTATAAATTAAAGGGTGCATACTGTGCATACATTCAACCCTTAATAGTTTCTTTCTGTATGTGCTTCTGCCATGTTGGTATTGCCCTAAAATAAGGAATCTTGAAAGTCTTGTTATAGTTGATGATGTTGATGTCTTGGACAAATTTTTCTGCTATTGTGGCTTGTCCATACAATATAAGTATTAAGCCTTTTTTCTCCCCTATTGTAGGTATGTGTTCTTTTTGGATCCATGCAATGTAGACCTGGTAAATCGGAAGATCAAATCCATTGCCCTGTGTGTTGCAGCTTGTCCACGGAAAGAGCTAAAAACTTTGGTTGATGTTCAGAAATTTGCAGAAACAAATGGTATGAGGAAAGCACATCTATTTTTTCTTCTGGAGCCAATATTTATTTAGTATTCATAGATATAAGAAAGATAAAGGTACCTTAGACTTAGCAGAACTAAAGATGAATTGACAAAACATTATGGGAAATACCAAGGGGAATAGTCTATAGTATTTTTTATACATCTAAAAGTAGTCATTTCCTTTTTAAAGTTCATTTTCTTGAAGAAGAAAAAAAGACAAACCGCACAGGAACTTGATCAAAGGGGTTTTACATTTTATGGGCATGTGCTCCTATATTCTGAAATCTGCTCCAAGTAGCCTTCCTTCACTGTTGAGTCATTCTAGCAAGTAGTGGGCAGGTGAGATCAGTAGTGCTATTGCATTGTGCTAGAATATGGTATCTGCCAACAAGTGGGAAATAATTGTTTTTATTCAGTACTGAAGCGCAATTCCTTATTTTTCAACATTTTTATTGTGTTTTGTGCAAGGTAAGTACCAGGGAAACTATATTGCTGAATGAAACTAACTCAGTGTCCGCCCCAGGAATTCGGCTGCTTTATCTATGCTGCTGTCCGTGTCACCATCTTAAGGCATGTTTAAGTGAATGGATTTAACGTAGAGTTAAGGAATTGTCTACACCACAGTGTAGGCAGGTGACTAACATTGGGGCTTCAAAAGGGAAGGAATCCAAATGTAAATATGGAGCAAAAATCCCTTCTAATTATTCTGTCATTCGTGTTCTTTTCCTTAAACCTTGGCACTTGATCTTTTTGCACCTTAGGGCAAGGCATTCTGTTCATTAGCTGATAGTGACAGCATTACTGTTATGAGCACAGAGCAGAGAATCTCTTGCCCGAGAGCTCTTTTTGGTGAAAGCAAGGAGGTGCTGACTTCCCTTAGCCCTTTAGTTGCAGGTATTTGAGGATGGCTTTATTTTATCATACTAATTTTGACTTCCTCTCATTTTTGTCTTGTGATGTACAGCAGCCTTCTAATGAACGGAAGGATTCAGATGGAGCATTTAATTCTTGGAGCCCCCTGAAATATTTAAACATGGCCACTAGTATTTTTTTTGTCTGTGCATGAATAGGGTTGTGTTTCTGTATAAGTCTAACTTATGTTGGGAAATCAACATGTGTTTGTTATCCTCTGATAACTGTGGTACATTTGGCATGACTGTTGTCAAACTGAGCCAAAGGCTACATGATTTTCTAAAATGTACTGTATCTTGTGCTAATGGTGATCCAGGCTAATCAAACCTCCTTGGCATTTGCTATATGAAAAACAACTGCTTGTGAAATATTTTAAAATTGGCCTTAAATGGATTTGCCTTGTTTCTTGTAAACTTAGCCCAGGGTATCTGAAATCTAGCACTTATTGCAGGGAGGTGTTAGTAAAAGTACTCAAGGTCTCTCATCCCTGTTTTCTAATCCATATTTGCTCGGTGTGACCTTGGGCCAGCCATTTAGGTCTGAGGTAAACCGATTAGAATGTTAATAATACATAACTTAAATAGAGGAGATGCTGAATCTAAATTGAGCGTTCATGTTGTAGCTAAGTCAGGGGGCAAAAAAATATGTCAGCACTATGCAAGAGTGTGAGAATAGTTACGCTTAGAAATCTTATCCCTTGATGGTACTTGCAATATCAATAGGGCAGGATCCAAACCATGATTCAGTTAAACTTGTTAATTGCTAGAAACTTACTGCTGCATTCTAAATGCAGTGAAATTGCTAGTTATAGCTCCATAGTTAAGGTTGAATTGAGTCTGGGTTGAAGCAGATGCAGCCTTTTTCTTAAGTACGAAGAATAGTGTGTCCATACCAAAATTATGGCATCTGTGGAATACAGGATATTTCTGAGAATTTGGAAGTAAATCCATTAACTACCTTGGATTGATATTAATTCAGAATGGGACTATAACAGGTTTATACTCACTGTTGGAGCGCCTCCTGCTGGCCTTGTGGGAATTGGCTCTTTCTAGCATGGGAGCGCCCTCCTCTGGTGATGCCTCACATGCCATCACCCACCTACTCTGTCTGGCTCCACTGTGCCCTGACCCATGTGCCTCCCAGACCACAGCTTCCTTCCCAAGGATACTACACTCTGGCGATGCCCACTGCTGGGTTTCTCCCCTTTGGGGAACCGGCAACCCCCCAATCCCACCATTCACCTCAGTGACCCACTGCAGTCCTTAGTCTAGCCCCTTCATTCCAGGCAAATGGCAGTCTGAATTGGCCACTCACATCATTGGCAAGAGGGGTGGACATGTGGCCTGTTTCCCCCCCCTGCCCCTGGCCGCCCCCGTAGCTCTAGTACCCTCAGTGCCTCAGCCCAGGAGCTAATCAGAACAGAGCTCCCCTGACCTACCCTAGCACTGCTCTGTCTACAGTACCTCTCTAGGTGTAGGCAGCAAGTCCTTCACTCTGTAGAGCTGTAGAGACACTAAGCTCCCTCTGCCCTGTAACTCATTTTGTGCAGCCCAGCTGGGTCCTGATTGGCTGCCTTAAGCCTCCTCCCAAATGGCTCCTAAAACAGCCCTGTCCTAGGCCTGTTTTAACCCCTTCTTTTCCAGTGTGGGGCAACTGCTCTGTCACAGGAGCCTTTAAGAAATGTAGTGTGTGTTTGGTGTCAGATCTTGTAATGTCAGATCTTGTAAGACAAGCTTCATAATGGAGTAACACATTCTTTAAACTTGCTGCTTGTTTGGACACCATTGAAATCTTGTGCATGGCTACGTTTGAATAACTGGATTGTAATTAAGATAAGCTGATGACTGTTGTATATAGTTAGGATTATATCATATTCCCAAACAAGAACTAGATTAAGGTGAAGGAAGGTTGGAAATATATATGGACATTAAAATGAAAAAATACTACAGGGATATTGTAACTATCCCCAAACCAGCTCTCAATTTCCTGGTTTTATAACTTCTCCAGGATAAAGTTTAATTCAAACATGGTACTACTAATGTATGGAAATGCACAGTTAAAGGATCCAAACAACCTTACTTCTGCCCTGTCATGACTCATGCAGTAGAGGTATAGTTGTCATGGGTACACAAGGTGTTTGTTGGCCAGATTCAATTAAAATAATTTTAAAGAATTAGATATTTTTTCTTCCTCATATGTCCTATAGGGTACATCTAAACTACATCCCTTTTTCGATAAAGGGATGTAAATTAGACGTATCGAAATTGCAAATGAAGCAGGGATTTGAATTTCCCATGCTTCATTTGCATAATCCCATGATGGTGCTTTTTCAAAAAAGCGCCATTTCGAAAGTAAAACCACGGACTAGACATGGTTCTTTAAAAAACGGCAGGCTTTTTCGAAAGATCCTGTAACCCTCAAAAAAGTTACTTTAATTACAATCCAGTTATTCAAAAAATGAGGGTTACAGGATCTTTCGAAAAAGCCTGCCGTTTTTTAAAGAACCATGTCTAGTCCGTGGTTTTACTTTCGAAATGGCGCTTTTTTGAAAAAGCACCATCATGGGATTATGCAAATGAAGCATGGGAAATTCAAATCCCTGCTTCATTTGCAATTTCGAGACGTCTAATTTACATCCCTTTATCGAAAAAGAGATGTAGTTTAGACGTACCCACAGTGTGCATTTACCATTGCTTATCAAAAAGTATCTTTAATTACACATGTGCTATGAAAACTTGGAGTCAAAATTTCTGGAAGTAGGAACCTAAAATTAGCCATTTACATCTAAACAAGTGGTCTGATTTTTTTTTTTCCAAAGTGCTGAGAGTATGGCATCTGGCATTAACCTCGGTGGGAATTGCTGGCTGTTCAGCACTTAAAATTAGGCCATTAATGAGTGAATGTGGATTTAAGAGCCTAGAATTAGGCTTCTATTTTTGAACATTGTGGCCTGGATCTCTCTTGAAGAGGTCTGTAGCCAGGCCTATCCAGCAGAGTTCCAGATGGATGCCATGTCTGGGACAGTTACTGAAGTAAGACACTAAATAGAAAAAAGTCTGCTGCAGAGAGTAACCTGAATGAGAATAGAAAGGAAAATCAGCTTGACTAGGTGCTGCTCAGGCATCTTTCTGAGTGGAGGGTTAGGGCATCACTGGTTTGAGCCACACCAAGAGCTACCACTCGCTGTATTACTCCAGTAGGTTGAAAACTGAACTGAAGTGACACTGAAATAGTCGTCTTATCAGAACTGGGTTCAAAAGGCCAAATCTTCTGCCTTGGTAGAGATTTCTCTTGGTGGATATGAAAATAAAATGCACATAGCTATTGTGAAGAAATGGGAAGCTGCTGTAGGCAAGGGAAAGGATTGTCTCAGGGGTCTCTTGTCTGCAGAGCAATGGTCTCATATGCACAATAATCAAAGCACCGCTTTGAAGCATATCACTGGTGCTGGCCTTAAAAACAGAGTTTGTATGGGTCGGAGATAATGTGGAGTGAATTGTACATGTTTTCCATATTGTTTGGAAATGTGCTAAGGTTAGAAAATGTTGCTTTTCACTCCTGAAAACTGTTAAGGAAATCACAGCTAAGGAATTATTAGTGGAGCTCCTGGCTGTGTTGTTGGGCTTCCTAGTTCAAGGCATGTTGCCAGGGATGAAGTAATTTTACATTGCTTGGTTTCTGCCAGACCTCATATAGCCTAAAGCTGTTATTTGAATATAAATACAATTTTGAATGGTTGTAATAGATACAAGTGATGTTTTGCTTTGATTGTTTATGGTTGAGTAGTGCTGTATGGAGGTCTTGGGGGCACTCCTCCACAGTAGCCTAGAACTGTCTGCATCTGTCAGCACTGTCCTGTACACTTTTATAGTGAAAACAGAAACAAGTCTGTAAAAAAAACCCAACACAAAACATGTTTGTGTTCTGCTCCTGGGGGTGGGAGTACAACCAGTGAACCTTTCTCCCAGGATTGTGCTTGCATCAATGAACTCTGTATTGCACATAAAGTATACTAAAAAGCTACGCTCATTTTTAAGCTTCATTAGAAATCTGTGGGAGTGAGGGAGGTGGGAGGCGGGAGGCGAGAGAATTGCTATGTACCAAACAGAAAGGAAATTAGTAATGTTTGTGTTCAAGCTTCTATCTACTGATAAAGAATGGAGAACAGAAGACAAAAGAGCTCAGACAGCATTCTTCCTTTTTTTTAATAAAGGATTACAGCTGACCATAAAATACATCTTTAAGGCTTCTCTGCTTGCCATAGGATAGATAAATATTTCTTAATCTCATTTTTGAATCCAGTTAGTTGCTGTGGTAACCATGATTGGATATCTCAGCTATTCCTCCTGTGCAGTCTTATATATATGGAAACCTTTATAAAGATTTAAATAATGTCTCGTTCCTTGGAACTCTCTTGTAGACTCTAGAGAATACTCCCTCCTTTAGTCTGAATCCCAAAACTATTTAATCGCCAGTTTTAATTTCTCCTTCCCTCTGTGTTTCCTCTTTACTAGTGCTCACTATATGTTCCTGCGAGACAGTTAGGAGAGCAATAAACCCTGTATATCCACCTGCCTGTTCTCTTTTCTTGAAAAGTGTATTTAACGTTTCGGAGAGATGCCAAGTGGAACTGCTGGAACACGAAATCCACTGTATCTGTAGAGCATGCAACATAGTGAATCAGTGGTCCCCAACCTTTAGAGGCTCCGGGGTGTGGGGCCACTCACGTGCCGGGCGCCCGGGGTGTGGGGCCACTCACGTGCCAGGCGCCCGGGGGCGGGGCCGCATGTCCGGGGGCACGCCAGGGGATGGGGATGCCCTTGCACCCAGCGCCGGCATGTGCCCCGGGGCCGCCCGAGCGCCTTGTGCCATGGACCCAGCGTTGTGGACCACTGTAGTGAATGGTAGAGTCTGGTCTTATCCCACCTTGTCTGTTGCCTCTGTCACTACCAGCTAGAACCACCTGTAGTGAATAGATAGGAGTTCAAGGCCTTTGGCTATTTCCCAGTTAGTCTCTTTACTGTTGCCTGTAAACAGAACCGTGGTAGTGAAGTCTGTGATGTTCTCGTGTGCACCATTCCTCAGTTCAGATAAGCCTCTGAATTAATGGTAGGTGAAAACATAACCTTGTCTGTTGCCTCTGTCACTACCAGCTAGAACCACCTGTAGTGAATAGATAGGAGTTCAAGGCCTTTGGCTATTTCCCAGTTAGTCTCTTTACTGTTGCCTGTAAACAGAACCGTGGTAGTGAAGTCTGTGATGTTCTCGTGTGCACCATTCCTCAGTTCAGATAAGCCTCTGAATTAATGGTAGGTGAAAACATATGCAAATGCGCATGCGCACACACACGCACACGCACGTGTATCTGGCATAAAAGGTCTAAATGATGTGTATTCTTGCTGCATGCATCATTGTAGCAATGTGTTCTTCCTGTCCTTAAGCTTTTGCAGCATCTTTTTGCAATTCCTATTAATTGTCGCAGTGTTTTTTTGAGTACAAGGGTTAATAACTACTTAGTATCCACATGATCAGTCCTAAGCAAAACAGAAGTTAGGATTTCAAAAGGAATCCTGTTTGCTTTCCAAGCCAGCATTCACAGCTGGGGTTCTCAATTTTTCTGGATAGGGGCCACAATAAAAGGAAATGCTTGTCTCCTGGGTCACTTCCTCTTCTGATCATGGGCACATCAGAGCTGTCTGGTCACTGGACCGGGTGTTTATGCAGAAAACGAATATTCGGAAAGTAGCTAAAAATAAACACTGTACCTTCAGAATACTATTTAGTATCAGACAGTAGCATGACTAGTAGGCCCATGGACCACTAGCAAGAGCCCTGCACCACAGCATAAGAGCTATTTTGGTAAGGCTCAGAAAGAGTAGAGCTCTCAAGTCAGTCCTCTAGAAAATGCAGTTTGTGGGCACTCTCCTGAATTCCATTGCCAAAATGTAGCATACTGTACTCTCACATGCACAACGTCACAGATGAGCAGCCTCATGCCCTTGATTGCTTTTCAGTTGGATATTTGGATTCTACTCGGAATGACCACTTAAACCAGTGGTGTTTCTGGGCAGTTATGCCAAGAAAGGCTGATGAGATCTGGATAGAGAACTTTTATCTCTTGCAGACTTGGAAGCTCAAACAGTAGCTAAATCCCCCAAATGTTCAGAAAACTGCCACCAGACCCGAATAGCTTATATACAGTCTTTACTAACCCAAGGGTAACTGCTTGTGGGACTGGGGGAAAAAGAATAATTTCCTTTTTTTTTCCTCCTCCCCCAAGCCACAAAGAGCATATCTACTGTTGGAGCCCTGTGACTGGTATTTCTGTCTGATGCCTTCCCATTTTGAAAGGATAAGTGTTTAGCAATGGATTTCCTGGCTCCATCTCCACTCTTTAACCCAAAACGTTCATGAGCAGGGATCTGGACAGAAGCCATGCAAGGCATTCTGCTGCCAAAGGGCAGGGGACATGTTTGGTCCTTGGTAGATGTGAATGTGGGGCTGGGCCTTCTCTTAATACAAATACCTTTATAGATCATTGCTAAAAATGAGAAACAGGGGGAAGCACAATTAAGACTTCTACGTTTGGAGAGATAACTACATCATAAATCAGTAAATGAGTAACCTTACTCCTTTCCCTGCCTCTGTTGTACTGATTTTGGCATCCTTTAACAAGTTTTCCTGACATCCAAACTGAAAAAAAAAAATGTTTCTCTTTGTATTCACAAGATGTGCTGGGCTTGTCAGTGGCCCCTTTTCCTCCTGCTAGTCCTCTTTGGATCATTCATGCTGACATTCAAGTCAGAATTCTTATATTTCATTGTGGATGTTCGGATTAGATAGTTTCCCACTCCTACAGAGCCTTTGCTCCAGAGAGCTCCAAGTGCAGTACAGGTAAGTTTTGTAACACCTTAGTGAGGTGGGCAGGTCTGTTACAGCCACTTTGCAAATAGAGGCGTGGTGCTTCATCTAAATGGCAGAAACTGGAACTAGAACTCAGGAATCCTGATTCTTGCTTGCCTATTTCAGCCACCTGACTCTCTTTAACGTGGAGATGTTCATCTGTTCCTGGAAAATCTAAACCATACAATTGAGCCTGAGATTGTGTGGGATACTTTGCCTGTGCCCTTTCTCTGTGCAAATAGAAGACTTTTTTTTGCAAGGGGAGCAAATGGGAGGAGTTGCTGCATTTAAGCCTTGCTGATAAGAGTTTGGCAGTATAAACACATGGGAGTGCTTCTTTGTATTAGGTCATCAGCCAACTTACTCTTTAACCTCAGGAGTTTTACTCTCTTTGCCCTCTGAAACACATGGATTGCAGTTTTAAAAGAAAACTGAATAGTTTTTTTTCATCGTGGATAGATTTGGCAGTATTGTTTTTTTTAAATAATTTTGATGTATAATTTAAGCATTTTTTCAGTTTTTTGTATCAATTTTAAATTTTTCACACATACAGGATGCTTAGGGGAAGGGGTGATCAAACAGTAATTTACTCACAACAGGCAATTCAAAAAGTTAAATCTTTCTAACCATTAAAACACAAGTTCTCACTTGCTCCTTAAAATATATAAAGTAAATACCCTTAAATCTAGCTGAGTTCTCAAGCAGCATTTTCTGACTTTGCCCATCTAAGTTTTGACTGCTATTGATGGAAATATTGTTTGTGTATGGTGACATTAACATTTACTCATAAAAATGTATTCCTTCCATGCCTAATCATAGATGTTGTCTCTGCATCAAAACTGTGTATTAAGGATGATCAAGAAACAACTGGGGGACAGAATGATTTCTAGGAGTCTAGTGATTTGAGTCCTCCTTCCTTTAAAAATGGACTGTGAATTTAGCCTTTCTGTCTCTGCTGATCTGAGGTGGCAAGATGATGGCCCAGCCATGGATGCACGGGGCCATCTGGTACAACAGAAGAGGGACATGATTCAACATTCCATTACACAACATTTTCTCTAGTAGTCTCTTGTGACTGGGCAGTCAATGGAGCATTAGTGATGTGAAACTAATGTAATGGAGCGGAGAATCAGAGCTCTTAGCCTGTTTAAGAGGATTTGTTGGACAGAAACATGAATATTAAATTTTTGATCTTAAACTTTTTTTTTCTTTCAACAGGCTCCAATTTATGTAGCTATGAAATACAGCCATCTGAGTACACTAGAGATTCGCAGGCCTCTACGCTCTGCCCCAAGCTCCCAGTTCCAGAGAGGTATGTTTAACTGCTCGTCTTATTGTTTGGTCGTTTGTTGGAAAAAGAAGTTTTATAAAACCCCAACAAAGAATAAATTAGGTCACCCTACAACACACCTATGTTTGTTGTTATCATGTTAACTCTTTTGATACAAAGGTCATTTATAAAGAGACACCATTAACATAATACTTACAAAATCCTACTGTGAGCCTAATGCTATTAAAACTGGGATATTAAAAATGCTCTTTGGCATTATATACTCGGTGTTATGCAGGTGTTAGTTCACCATCTGAAGAGCTGGCCGCATTTTAGCGATACTGTTTCTACTAGGGATGTTAAGTATAGGTTGATTGAATAGTCAATTAACCTCATGGATTCTTATCGGTTACTTGACTATTCTGTAGTCCCTGGGAATGGGGCTGGCATCCAGCTCCACTACCAAGGAGCCCCCTGCCACTCTGTGTAGCTGCCTCTGACACAGAGGCAGCAGCACGGGATGCCAGGCGGAAGCTGGACCATGAGGGGAGCCAGTTTAAAAACCAGCTCCCCTCGCAGACTGGCTGCCTGTTGCCCCACGCTGCTGTCTGGGAGGGGTGGGCGGGGCAGACATGAGCTGGAACTGAGCCAAGCTGCTTGCCTGCCTGGCTCCTAATACACTTCACCCGCTGCAGCTCTGCATTTATAGCTCCCAGACCTGGCACAAGCCAAGTCTGAACAGGGCTGCTGGCCTGCCTGGCTCCTAATACACTTCACCCGCCGCAGCTCTGCATTTATGGCTCCCAGACCTGGCGCAAGCCAAATCTGAACAGGGCTGCTGGCCAGCCTGCTAAAACATTTACTGCGGGGGGCGGGGGGAAGAGGAGAGAGGGAGAAGGAAATGCGTTTAGTTGATATCATTAACCTGTAGGCTTTTGCTTATTGGTTAATTGGTTAATCGACTATATTATTACATACACAGTTTCTACATAGTTTGTACACAGCATATGAAGTGTTTTGGAATGAAAGGTGGTATAGGCACATAAAATATTACATTGATCATTTGTGGTGTTTGCTTCTTGTACTTTACTCAGCCAGTTAAACTTGGTGGGAGTGTTTCATTTGCTGGTTCTCTAGTGTGTGAGAGTTTCTGGTACTGGAATGCTTAAATGGCAGAAAGCAAAATCCAACCTAAACATTTAATGGCACTCCTATTCATCTATTACTTTGTTTTGTAAATAAACTGCTCTAGCAGTACTGTTTAAAATTTCAGCCTAGAACTGCCTTGACTGTTTTTGGTCAAGTATGATAGTGATTATAACAGAGGATACTGCTGGCATTGAGAGCTCTGCTGTGTGTTTGAAGATCAGAGTGCTGCCCAGAAGTTAAGGGACAGTCCACACTTCAGTTACACAGCAAGTTTGTTCAGCAAGGTGATTATTGTAGAGTTCAGCCCTTTAAATGCTCTGGGAGTAGTTCCACTATCTTTAACGGAGTGGTGAGCAACCTGTGACCCGAGAGCCGTATGCAGCCCATTGGGGCTCTGTGTGAGGCACATGGGACAGCTTTGTTTACCATTGCTCATGCTCAGGGGTGCCAAATTCTGCTGATTTTCATCCATAACGGTTTTTTTGCTACTGGTATGACTGAAGTGATACAGATGTAAAGCAAGGATATGTGAAGAGAGGTGCATGCTGATTGCACACAACATTGTGAGAGCCTTGCATTCCCTCTGTATCCAATCCAAGTGCTATTGCGGTTCAGTTGGCGCACTCTACAAATTCTAGGTACGCAAGCACAGTTAGCAAAACTACCCTAACCCTGCAAGACCATCTTGGTTACAATAATCTTGTGACCCACTGAAATGAAGTAGGGTCATTCATGTGGCCCAATGTGACGACGCCTCGGGATTTTCCCATCTCCTGCACCCCCGAAATGGCATGAACAGACTTCACCAGCCAGTAGAATGGAGGTTGTTTATTGTTCCTCCAGCACAGCGCAGCACAGATGTAATCTGGTTACAGGAACTGGGGCTAAGAGGCCTCAGTGCCCCCTTGAGATAGGGGAGTCCCAGCCCCCTCCCCAGCTCCTTCTTCCCTGCCTTCCAGCCAGGAACTCACTAACTCTCTTCCAGCCCTGCCCCCCAACCAGGGCAGCATTCCACCTTCCTTTGTTCCTCTCCATGGGGGGTGTCTGGCCACTGGTTTGCAAAGTGACTCATCCTGTTTTGCTGGGTCGTGGTACCCACGGCAGCCAGTGGGGGTTACCCCAGAGCCAGCAGCATCACCTTTGCATAATGAGGTTTTCCCTGCTGGGTCTTGCTCCAGACAGCAGAGGTCCCCACAGCCCAGCAAGTACCCCCACTACGTCACACCCACTCGCTAGCCTAGGTTGTCCATCATTGCTTTAACAAGATTTCTGCAGGGGTATTTGTGGCTTAAACTTGCAAACACTTGTGACCAGTTATAATTCTTATTTCATAAAGAACTCCACCTTGACTATATCTATTCAGGGTCAGGCCGTATGCGCTCTGCATGGACATGAGTGTTTGTAAAGGAAAAACAGAGAAAAGTGGGTATGTTGTAGCCATTTTAGTTCCAGGACCTGTAGTTTTAAATGCCATTTGCTTATTGAGGTAACTCATCCAAGTTTTTAAATTGATGGCTGTGATACCGAATGCTGGCAATAGCATACTTTTTTCTGAATCTTTTTTTTTAACGCTGCAGTTCAATAGTCTATGCAGCAGTCCTTGGAATAGGTGCTGCACTGACTAAAAGAAATAAAAATTCCAGTGTTTGTATATTCAAATGGCTTGTCGGTTTTAATTTTTGCCAGTATTTTATGTATTTTTCTTCCTAAATGTTCTCATGTCATTTAATTGGATTGAATTTTGCTTAATAAGGAAGCAGGCAGGTAGAATGGAGTGTCATCATTCTATAAATGCAGTGCAAATTCCTGGCAAAATTGCTTTTTAAAATAGTCAAAAGGAACTATTTCATCAATGGAGCATTTCTCCATTTTATTCCACAGTTATAAGTTAAAATAAAAAAAAATCATTAAATTTTAAAGTTTCCAAAACCCCCAAAGAAATAGGTTCCCTTCAGATCACGTGTTAGATATTGTGCTGGTGAATTTATTGGAGTAAACGTGTGCATTAAATTAAATGAATGGAGATGCCTATCTCCTAGAACTGGAAGGGACTTTGAAAGGTCATTGAGTCCAGTCCCCTGCCTTCACAGCAGGACCAAGTACCATCACTGACAGATTTTGCCCCAGATCCCTAAATGGCCCTCTCAAGGACTGAACTCACAACCCTGGGTTTAGCAGGCCAATGCTCAAACCATTGAGCTATTCTCTCCTTCCCCATTTTGGAGAAGAATGAAAAGAATGCATTTTGAAGAAGAAATGAAATGGACTGAAGGATGAAAAAATAAATACATTTCAGGAAGAAGGATGTTGAGGAAAACTCCCTGATGTTCTTTTCCTGGAAACAGATCCTCAGCTGATGTAAATTACATCACTCTTTTGAAGTCAAGGGCGCTACGGCAACTTAGGTCAGCTGAGTACAATCCAGCAGTAAAGTGTTCTGTGTGTCCTGCAGAGAGCCCCAGACAGCTTGCAGAGACTCTGCCATTTCAGCTTTGGAATGCTCTGCCTTCACTTGCTTTGGTTTCTTCACAGCATTGCCAAAGATAACCACATCCTCCAGCAGCAACTCCTGAAATATAGTTGCACTGCATGAAGGTGGTTTTGGAGCAGGATACTCAAGAGGAAGCTAGCCAGTTTGCCCCTTCTTTCTTGTCTCTCCCTATTCCAACTCTGCACAACCTTGAGAGAGGGGCTTCCATTGAGTTTGGAGAGAGAAAGAGCAAAGCCCAGCAACAAAATGCTATATTCTGTTGGCACAGGCTCCCTACATGAGTTGACATATCAATTATGGGGACCCTAAATACGTCAGATCCAGCCCTGTTTTGAGGCACGCCTGATAGAGAGCTACTCTGTTCCTAACTCTGCATTCATTTATTTGACAAAGTCTAATTAAACTTGGAATCCTTCACAGAATTTTAGTGCCACTGTTATTTTTGTGCTTTTTTGTTTATTTCTCCTCCTCCTCCTCCTCAAGGCTAATTCTGCTTACATTGATCACGATGATTAAGGAGCAGATTATACTTAGAAGCATATGATTTCATTTAACTATGTAAGGTTCCAAGGTGTAATCAAGGGGCATTATAAATAGCAGAGGTCACTATCACGAGATGTATTATTTTGTTTTTTTATTAAACAAGACACATCATACCAGATGCTTATTGAATCAGAACCACTGAAATAGAAGTAGGTCTCCTGGATTCTCAAGTCTTATTTATTCAAGAAAGGTTGTAATAAGCACTGACCTTATTTTGTATGTATTATAACCATTTGTATTTAATTATCATACGTCAAAGCAGGTCACTTACTATGGACAGTATAATTGCTACATGCAAGAGAGATATTAGGAAATTAATACAGGAACGCAGTGTGATAAAGGCAATAAGTATCTATTTTTCCCCAAGGACATGTTGATTCTAATGACTTTTTTTTTTCCAGAACGTCTGTTTTCTCGTCAAGATGTGAAAAAATGTGTTGTTTTTTTAATGTTTCAGAATTAAATCTGAGCTTTGTCAGAATGATAGCACTGTTTTTCAGTGCAAGCCTATAAAGTTTCACAGGCTTTCTTAAAAATTGGATCAAATGCATGACATAAAAGTTTAAATGCAGAGCTCCCTAATTTCAAGCATTTCAGATTTGCATACGTGCTGTGAAGACCTGCAAGACTCTCACACTCCAAAGCTAACTCAGTCTTACAAAAAGGCTTGAGGGATATATATATATATATAATATATATATAGGCTGCTTGATAGATACTGTGGGTTTCATCTGATTTTTTTTTAACAGCTCTCACTAAATGTATAGATATTCCGCTTAATTGCTGTCTTTATTACTCACTGAAAGCAAAGTATCAGAGCAAGAATCTGCAAATGCATTTTCTTATTCAGCATAGTTTACTTAAAACTTTATTTAAAACTGTCAGTTTTGCAAAAGCATGGGACTCTGTTAATTATCTAGTTATGCAGGTGATAGGAAAACCTTCCCAATTCTGCACTGAATAATTAGACAATTGCTTTTTTAGTATGTTCTTTCTCTCCTCTCCTCCACTTCCCTAAAATAATAATGCATAGAGCGGATAGTCCTAAGGCAGATGACTCTAACCCTACGCACTAGAAGTGAGGGTTAGACTTCTGATACGACTCTCAATTTAAAAATAGGCATCCGATATAGGAAATATCTGGCTTCAAAACCTCAAGCAAAATAGGAGACTCCCAAAGGAACAAGGTGAAGTGGTGCTGCAGTATCCTGAAATTTTGCAAATAAGACCGTAGGAATTAATGGGGAGAAAGGAAATGTGGCAGCTAAAAGAAAACTCTTCAGTTTAATGTAGGACATATATTTTATTCATTGGATTCAATTGCAAGCAAGAATAGATTGCTAATAAAATTGTCTTAAATGTAATGGAAAAGAATAATTAAAAACAAACTAGACACTCTTGATAGCCTGACTGAGCTTAGGGTTCAAGAAGATGCAGCTCCCAAGTGGGTAGTAGCACTGTGAAAATAAAGTCTTACGGTTCTGCTGTCCTGAATTATCTGTTGGTGGACTGGCATACTATTTGTTTACTGGGGTGAGAAGTATAGTGCATGAGAGAGGTAAATAATTCAGGGTAAAGGGACTAATGAAACAGTTTTAGGCCTCTTCCCTGCATTTAGTATAAAACATTGAAATATTTCTTAAATTATCACTGTAATTGTCATCTCCTATGACCAGAATAAGCATATAACAGGGAAAGCTGCTTGGCAACAGTTGTAAATGGTGACATGTTTTAGACTATGGTACAATCATTCTTGGATATCTTTTTTGCTACAAAAGTGGGTCAGTATTCCATTTGAAAGTCAGTGAGGCAATAGTTTGAGCTGGTATACCACGTGACACTTGAATGACAGAGGTTTAAGCTGAAATAAGAGCGTACTCTTTTTTGAGAGGCAAAGGGTGTAATACTTGTTGGAATATGCATGCTATCTTAACAGAAATACTTGTAAAAATTACATCACTCCTCATTGTAACCATCATCATTATAGCAGCACCTCTGCATTAAACTCACAGCTCCTCGTTACAGTCTTATGAGGGTGGAGAGTATTGCATCAATTCACCTTTCATTTCTGTGTTGATGTGGCATTTATATTAAGTAGGAGTAATTTTTTTTCTGATTTTTTTTTTCTTGTGTCACCAGTGCACCTATTCCATTCTTCCATCGCTGTGCTCCTGTGAACATTTCCTGCTATGCCAAGTTTGCAGAGGCCCTGATCACCTTTGTCAGTGACAGTAGTGTCTTACACAGGCTGATTAGTGGAGTTATGACCAGCAAAGAGATTATAATGGGACTTTGCTTGTTATCACTAGGTAATTGTTTTTCTCATTATTAGTTGTTTCATAGTACTGCGATAGGAGACTGTTAACATCCTCTAGTCACAGCATGAACATAAAACATATACAATAATAAGCCCCAAGGAAACTGTTAAAATGCGTTGTTTTTTTCTTTTACTTAGTAGCCAAATGACTGTTTCAAAAGAAATACATGTAAACATTAAATTTTTGTTTAAGATCGGGGAGGGGTTGGACATACTTGACTGCTCTTGCCTTAGCTGTTTAACTTCAACCAGAGGTGGCGATACTTTAATAATGCTCGCCTGGCCTTTCCACTCACCGTTTTGCCTACCCCTTGCACTAAAAATGAGAGCAATGCATGGCATTATGCTCTCAGAAGCCTGGGAGTTAGGTTTCTTTTTGTGTTTATGGCTTAGCTATTGGAGCTGAGATCTTCAAAAGTGCAAAAGGAAATTGGGTTGGACACTTAACTCCCTTTGGCACCTTTGTAACTCCTAGCCCTGTTTTTATGAATGTAAATGTTGTTGCAAATGTGTTCTTGAAAGGTGGTAAAATTCCCAGTTCTGGGTCTTAGGTTTTTTTTTTTTTTGATCAGTGGTATCCCATCATAGTGAAGTGATTGTTTCAAACAGACTCTATAAATGAAGGTGAAAGTATGTGCACCCAAATGTATTACATTTCTGATCAGCTGACTTTATTGAATACTTAGTAAGAGGCCCTTAACCTCTTAAAAAACTGAACCCCTGCTGTGCTAGTCATCTGTCAGAATAGTGTGTGGTTAAAGAAAAAGAAATGGGAATGGACTACAGGGTGCCACAGAGTCTGTAGCAGCAAGATTCTGCTAAAGCCAATCTGTCTCTGCAGTAGAGAGGTAGATCTTGACTGCAAAAAAATGAAACACTAACTCCAAGAAGTGATTTTGCTGCAAAGAAACCCCCAGAACTATTTCTTCCATTGCACACCATGGTGGTAATAATGGGCCTGTAATAATTTGACCTAAAAGTGAAAAGAAAATTAAGAATTTGCAAATTTGTAGCTCTATTAGCTACACTGTAGTTGGATTAGTGCCAGATTTTGCTTTGGATATGCATTGCAAAATTTTATATAAAGTTAATTTAGTCATTTAGGTAAAAGAACAATAAAAATGTGATTATTTTCAGATTACTTTTTAATGCTTTTTTAATTAAATCAGGATGTTAGCTTATTTCACAAATCAGACCCCAGTGCTATTCACTTTAAAATGTAGCTAGTGCACTCACACTACTTCTCAGTGAAAAATGGCGATTTAGGGAAGGTTTTTTAACAAGCTGTGCCTGTATGGCAGTGGGACTAATAGGATGCCCAGGCTGGCTTCTTGTTAGGGAAGTAGCTTCCCAAATTATAGGTGCACTCTGAGAAAAGATGCAGAAATCTATATGTACCAATTTAACCAAATGAACTTTGAAATGGCATGGTGCATCTGATGGCATAATGCCAAGGGCCCAAAAAATGGGGACTTAGAGATGAGAAATGGGGAAAACAATGAAGAGTAGATGAGAAAATGTGAAAATTGCAAGTAAAAAATTATTGCAGAATCAATAAACTCTTTAAAAACCCAATTTGATTAAAAAAGATAAAGCACACAGCAGTAATTTTTCCTTGTAACAAACATGACATCTTAATACATCATAATATCTGCACTTGTTTAGCATGTGTGTTTGCATGTGAGTTCTCCTCTGCTGCTCAGAGTTGTGTAGTTGTTTTTCCAACTCATGATATTAAACTCACACTTCTGTCATGTCCTCTTGTTTGTTCGGTCACTGTCTGAATACATTTGTGTGACTATACTATGGTGTGTGTGTGTGTGTGTGTGTGTGTGTGTGTGTGTGTGTGTGTGTGTATATATATATATATAAATAGTGTACTATGTTAATGTGCGCACACACACTTTTTATTTAGCAAAAAGCAGGAGTTGTAGAAGGTACCTGATTTTCCTTGTGTATTTGTGAAATAAGTTTGAAAGCCATAGGACAAAAAAAATTCCTTCTATAAAAGACTCCATTAATATGCAGTTATCTCTAGTGTAGAGCGTGCAATTGAACTTCCTACCTTTTGCTCATGGAAAAAATACCTTTGTAGGGTTGTTCCTGTTTGAAATAATTGCTCTGCTTATTATATTTGTCTTTTCTGCAGTGCTGTCCATGATTTTGATGGTGATTATCAGGTACATTTCAAGAGTACTGGTTTGGATCTTAACAATTCTTGTCGTTCTGGGATCACTTGGTAAGTCTAGTTCGTTTCTTCGGCGTTGAGAGCCAAGTTCTGATGTCTCTCCCTCACTCCAAAGGTCATTAGCATCCTACTCAGAGACGATTCTTTTTTTCTGCTTTACACTGACCTGCCCCAAGGTTCCATGGGGAAACTGCTGTCTTTCTGGCTGAGAAGAACTGGGTTAGATTCAATCACTGCTGCTCTTTGCCCAGCCACACAACTGTTGCACCTGCTGTTTGATGGATGAGGGCGCACATAGCCCATGACAACCTGGAGAGTGAGACACGAAGAATCTACCCAGTACAGAGCCCTGTGGGGCAGAGCACTACCATTAACATTTAGGATGGGTCCTCTGGGTGGCTTGAGCTGTGCTCAATACACTTAATCAGTGAGAAACACAGGGGCTTTTCCATCACTTTTCTTCCTCTCCTTGCAAACTTCCTGCAGTCTGGGGGACTATTGAGGGCATGGGGGCTGGTTAGGTTCCCAGGGCATGTAACAGCAGTGTAATATGAATTCCTAACCAGCCCATTGGAGCTGTTTTCTGACCGCTTTGATCTACTCTATACACTTTAAACTTCGTGGAACTGAAGTTTTATATAGTTGATGTTTCAATAATGCAGAAGCATTTTGAGTGATCAGCGGAAATGCTAAAATAGATGGCAGCCATAATTTAATCATGACCTGCCAGGGTTAGAAAAAAATACTTTCAAGATCGTATAGGTTTTCTGAACTGCCCCACTGACTTTTGATTACATCCTGAAAAACAGCACCTAATGCGAAGACTTAAAAATGGAGTTTTGCGAGAGACGCTGTTTGTGTTTACATTAGTCTGTTGTTTTTGGAATCCCCATATGGCAAATCTGGAACATCCTGAATCTTTTGAAATGAACAAAATATGTCAACTAAGATTTTTGCACTTTAGATAGGCACACTGCAGCTGATTCTCAGACCTTGAGGGAGGGGAGAGGGGAACTGTGGAAAGAGAAAAGAAATGTCAGAAGGAAAAGGTTAATTCATTGGAGGTATGGAATCCCAAATCAAAGAGAATTCTGTCTTGGAAACGTGGCAGCAGCCGGAAAGTATAATCCTGGCCTATTAAAGTTAATGGGAGTTTTGCTTCTGATCAGTAGGGGTAGGATTTCCCCCAGGGAGTTTTTTTAATGGGAGATTTCCTCTCTTCTCCTTCTCCTTCACCTTTATTTTTATTTTTCATTTTCTCATGGCAGGTGATGTGAGCTGGCTCTTCTGTCGTTCCTACACTTGCAGTACATGCATCAGTTCTTCTTCATGCATGGCCACCTAGCTGTGATTTATCTGAGGTGCTGTTTCAAGTATCCATGGATTCTCTCTCTGACTCCTCATTGTTTCCTTTCCTCTTCCCTGGTGGCACGTCTCTTTGAAGTGTTTACCCTTTCACTTCTTCCTTTTTCTTTGTACTACTACTTCTCTGCATCCTCTGGGACTCTCTCTCAGTTTTTCCATTTTAATTTCCCATACACATCCCACCACATTGTTTTCTGCTTTTGTCCTTCCCTTCCAGTCCTCTAATGCCTGACATATGGGAACAGTATCTGCCCTTACCGTGCCTCCCCTGACAAGTGGCTCCCCTCATTCTCTCTAAAACACATGAAATGAGGAGTACCAATCCAAGGAGCTACCTGATTTTCAGATGGCCCTAGCAGGGTAGGAGCGGTGCAGGGAGAGCCTTTGCTTGATTAACAGACAAGTGAGAAGCCAGAGTACTCTACCTTCAAAATACTTCCTTTGGAGTAGCATCAGCTCTCTTGGATAGTTTTTGTCAGTTTAGACTGTGCTGTGTCCAGCTGGTTCCATTTGTTGTGCATTTGTTAAGTTGAGGGAATTATGCTATTTGTCCTGTCTTTCATTCAAACCATAGGTGGCACGGGAGTACTGTGGTGGCTGTATGCTAAGCAAAGAAAGTTGGATGATGAAACTCTTTCTGCTGATCAGCTTCAAGTAGCCAAAGACAATCATCAGGCCCTCCTGGTCTATGCCATTTCAGCTACTGTCTTCACGGTAAGCGTGTTGTCCTTGTCAAAATCGTAGTTCTTTTTTCTGTCCTCGCCATGTTCTTTGGCTTGTCAATGCCATTTTGTAGCGTGTGCATGGAAATTGAAAACACTTCTGAAATAGTATCCCTGTTTGTTGCTGCACTTTCTACTGTTAGTTAGGCTTTGTTCTAGTAAACCTGTTCTTCTGAGGGAGAGTGTAGGGCCTGCACCAACAGCTACCACTCTCAGAAGTCGACTGGGACTTCCATGCACAGAACAGCCTCAGGATTGGAGACTTAATCTGTATGTTCACTTACACTTGGGTCCTGTTTGTCAGATAAATCAACTATAAATACTGTTTCAGTTTAGTTAGTGCATGCCTGTGTGGAGGGTTACTGTCATGAAACCTTTTTGTAAACGTATCTGCCAAGTTCTCTAGATTCTGTGGCAAAATATTACCATATTTTCCGGCGTATAAGACGACTTTTGATGTTAAAAAACATCCCCCAAAAATCGGGGGTCGTCTTATACGCCGGGTATACAGCTTTGCGGCTTTGCAAAGCCTTGGGGGAAGCCGGCGGCGGGGCAGCCCAGGCGCGCCGGAGCCCCTCCGCAGCTTTGCA